TTTCTAAGAGATCTTTCAATTGAGTCTTCAGCTCCCTCAATTCGGTAGGAGCTATCCTATACAGAGGGATAGATATTGGTTGTTTATCGGGTGATACATCGATGGCAAACTCAATCTCTCTCTCTCTCTCTGGAGGGATACTCGGGAGCTCATCAGGGAACACATCAGAAAATTCACTAAGATATTGTTTATCGGTTTCTTCGCCTCTTCATCCTGTGTCAGTACCAAAGGATAGAAACATCCTTTTAAAATCACATTCCGGGCCTTAAGGTAAGAAATGAACTTCCCTCTTGGCACTGCAACATCACCCCTCCATTCAATGACGTGTTCTCCTGGAAAATTAAAACGAATGACTTTCGCCTAACAATCCACGTTGGCATAGAACGAAGCCAACTAGTCCATCCCCATAATGATGTCAAATTCCATCATCTCTAATTCATTCAAGTCAGCCAAGGTGTGACGGTCATCAATCATCACATCGTAACCTCGATATACCCGTGTAACTATCACGGACTCACCTACGGGCGTGGACACTTCAAATAGCTGACGTAACAATTCAGGCTCTTTACCATATTTACTAGTAAAAAATGGAGGGATACACAACAAGTGGAACCTGGATTGATCAGAGCATACATATTAATGGAGAATACAAATAGTATATCGATAACCACATCCGATGAAGACTCTAGGTTCTGCCATCCTGACAATGCATAGATGCAGTTCTATTGACCACCCCAGTTAGATGCTCAACCTCTACCTCTACTTCTTCCTACAAATGGTTGCATGCTTTGCTCACGAGGGTGTACTGAGGATGACGAAGCTGTTGCCGATCCCGTTAGCGGCATCGGGTTACCCACATTCCTCAATGGGCAAAAATGCATAATGTAACCGGGCTGCCCACAAGAATAGCATACATCTGAACCTTGGCAACAAGTACCAAACTGACATTTACCACATCGACCGCAAAGAGGCGCTGGGGGCCTCACCTTACTCGGTTCTCCACTACATTGCGAGCTCTATCCTCGAAGATTCTAACTCTAACTGGAATAAGTGGCCCGATCACGACGCTGACCTTGGGACTGCGTTGTAGTATTAGGCACTGGATAGGATGGGTGCCGGGGAAACAGAGGTTTGAACTCACCTCGAGACTCACCCATGTCGCCTGTAGATCGGGCTCTTTTATGTTAGACCTGATCATGCTCTCGAGCAACTCGCTGTTTCCTTTTTTGATCCTCCAAGCTCTGTGCATAGGCTTGAATATGAGCAATATCCATATTCGGACTCAGAGAAGCTGTGGTGCATTCGTTAATCAAATGTGGTCCAAGACCACCCACAAATTAATGTAGTCTATCACTCATCTCTACTACAACTGAAGGAGCATACTTGCCCAAGGAGTTAAATTGCATGTTGTAATCCCGAACACTCATGTTACCCTGCTCCAAACGTAAGAATCTGTCTTGTTTAGCTCGGCGTATCTCAATAGGCAAATATTGTTGCAGAAATGCTTCAGAAAACTCCCTCCATCCTACTAGTGGAGCAACAAATCCCCTAGATTGTTCCCAAGTGTCATAGCAAATCACCGCAATATCCCGCAATCTATTTAAGGCAAGCTGCACAGACTCTATCTCAGTGGCATGCATAAATTGTAAGGTCTGCTGCATCTGATCTAGAAAGTTTTTGGGATCTTCATTTGGATCTATTCTTGTAAATGCCGGGGGTCCAAATTTATGAAATCTCAAACCTTCGTACTAACTGCTCTATATGAGGTGGCAGGGGCCTAATGTTGAGCCTGAGAAGCTACTAATCAAGTCAACAACTGCACAACACTCCTCATATCTAGATCATGTTCAGGAACGATCGGGGAAAGAATCAAAGGCACATTAGCTTCTCTTTGATGTTCCGGGGGTATTGGGGATGTCCTGAAACTTGAGTATCAGCCTCATCAAGGGGTCCGTGTTGACCCATAGGGGTAGGTGGCACCTAGATGGTACCTTTTCCTGCTTCTTCATTCAATCCCAAAATAATTGTCTGACATCTCGTGGTAGGCATTGATATAAACATATACATGATGGGGATTAGAACCGAATACTTATGACCCCTCTCTAACGCACGATCTAGATCAGAAAGAAAAGGTATTCACCCTAGATATCCCGTAGCCTCTTGTTTATAAGTGTGGTATACAACATACCCATAAACAAGACTCTACTAGATACAACTTGTAGACTCCCTAGGACAAACCTGCTCAGATACCAAGTTTGTCACACCCCAACCTTGGGAGGTGCGACCGGCACATGACGCCCTAAGGCCCATTGATGTGCCGTTGAATTTCAGCACTTTTGATACTAATTACATAGACTTTAACTCGTCTTTTAAAGCATTTTTAGTTATTTCTTATCAATTTTGGTGTTTTGCAGTGTACCAGACTTGAAGAACCAAGAACACGGAAAAGAAGACAAAAAACCACAAAAGGGCAAAAATGCGGCAAGTCTGCGACCGCAGAAGTGTTGTGAGAGCCGCAAACCAACCACAGACAAGCAGGTGGTCCAGATCTTGAAGAGAAAAATATGCGGTCCATTATGCGGTCGCATGACGCTTCTGCGGACCGCATAATGACCGCATAAGTGCAAATGAGATTTTGCGAGAGCCATTTTTGCGACGCAATCTGCGGTCGCATAATCAATATGCGGATCGCATAATGGATCTGCGATGGGGAACTAGGCAACTGGGCATGCAATTATGCAGCGACCTTGTAGTTTTGCAGACCGCATACACAATCTATGACCCATTCTGCGGTCGCAGATGTGTTTTGCAGGGGCATTTTTGTCTAAATTTGACCCCGACTTTTGGCCCATTATAAATAGATTTACTAGGGTTTTTGTGGGACATCTTGTCTAAAAAAGAGGCTACTTTTAGAACATTGAATACACCATTGTTTTGGAAGCTTTTGAAGAAAGAATCTTGTATCTTTGTAAGCTTTATGACTTCATTTATTACTTTGTTCTTGAATTCTAGTATGAGTAGCTAGTTTTAAATTCTAAGGTTGTGGACCCTAAATGGGTGTAATGTTAATGGGTATTTACCATTGAAGATATATATAATGGTTTGTTGATATTTGTTTATTTCTTATGCTTCATTTATTGTTAGTGGTTGCAAACATTAACTAATTCCATTTCACTCTATCTTTACTTGAAAAAGTGGGTTTGGGTTTGGTAGAATTGAATATAAAAAACTCAAGGCTTTAAACCTTGTTTAATAGATTCGCCTAGGAATAAGTGGGTTCTATTTGACATAGATTGGTTATTCTTAATTGGAACTCTTTTATATTTGGAAAAATCATAAAGAGAAAATACTACCCAACTGTTGGGAAATATTGGGTAGTCACGTAGAATCCATTTGCATATCAAAAGACCTTCCATTAGAAATATATCATATTAACATCGATAGCATTACATTTCATTGATGGGGACACAACCTTGGTTTACTTAATCACATTAATTACATTCTCATAACAAAATAGTTTTCTCGATAGCTCATAATTATAACACTCTCTTTTAAGCTAACGGAGTAGGATTACGACTTAAGTAAAGTTTCACACTATTCAAGTAACCTTTTCTCACCTATTCCCTGTGGGATTCGACCCCAACCTAGTTGGGTTATTATATTTGACATCGACCGCCTTACACCATTTATTTAGGTGTAATTTGAGCGTATCAAATTTTGGCGCCGTTGCCGGGGAATACGATTTTGAAATTACTATTTAGTGTGTGCTTTACTTTACGTCTTCTTCTACTCCTTCACACTTTACTTGCTTTGCTTGGTGTTACTAGGTAAACATGGCCTAGTTAGAGGAAGAGAACACTTTTGTGGATATAGATGGGTATATTGAGGATACAAATGCCACTGTCCCTCCAATAGTTGATGCTTCCACCTTCAAAGTGGAACACGGTCTAGTCCTAATGCTCAAAGCAGAGGGGTTTTACAGAAATTCCACCGATGATGATCCGACACAACATCTTAAAAACTTCTTGGGTGTGTGCACGATGCACAAGCAAAATCATGTTTCAGATGGTTCCCTAAGGCTGAGGGTATTCAAATACTCACCAATTGGAGAGGTAAGGAAATGGATCCAAAATCTACCACCTAATTCCATTCATACTTGGCCCGAACTCGTTCGAGCTTTCGTAGCTAAATGGTTCCCGCAAAGCAAGAATTAAGAGCTCCGAGATAAAATTTTCTTCTTCAAGCAACTACTGGGAGAACATCTACATGAGGCATGGGATCGATTCAAGTTATATTTAGTGAGGTCGCCGAATCATGGTTTTCTGGACAACATCTTGTTGGAGAAGTTTTACATGGGCTTGGATCCTTTGAATGAATCCATAGCCAAAAATGCAGCTGATGGATCCTTTATGGATAAAACATTTGCAAGGGTCACACAAATTCTTGACAAGATGGCAAAACATAACCTAGCTTGGCACTCGGAAGACACTACGGGTGGAATTGCATATGGTACTCCTTCCTTGACCAACATGATTAAGGAGAACCAAGAAAGGGATCAAGTAATTGCCGAGCTTGCTACCAACATCTATGTGTTGACCAAGATGTTTACTAAAAGCCAAACAAAAAAAGTGAATGTTGTGGAAGATGTGCAACCCTTGTCAAACGAGGATTACGAGGAAGCAAATTATGTCAACAACGCTCAAGGCTGTTATTAAAGACAATCCTACCAAGGTCCTGGCCAACAAAATCAATGAAGGTCTAACCCGCAAGGGCAAGGCCATCAACAGTAGCAAAATGATCAAGGTAGTTCAAATTAAGGTAATTGGAGTAACAACAACAACAACTATTCAAATCGGAGTTCAAACCCCTATGTTCCACCAAAGGGGCAACACTCTAACTCTTCGCATTGGAAGGAAAGTTCTTCAAGTGAGTCTAAATTGGAGAACATATTTGAAAGAGTGTTGTAAAATCAAGAAATATCTGACACTTCAATGAAAAACATGACTGAGCTTGTGGGTTCTCGCGCCGCATCCATACAAAAGTTAGAAATGCAAATGAGAGATCTATCAAGAGAGCAAAATCCAAAGCAAAAGGGCACACTCCCAAGTGACACAATAACAAATCCAAAAGGTAATGGGAATGGTCCGACTTCTCATTGTATGGCAATCACAACTCGAAGTGGGAAAATACTTCAAGGAGAGAATGAACAAGTGGTCGAAGTGGAAGATCTAGAATAAGAGGTTGAGGCACAAGTTGAGGTGCCAATTGTTGTTGAAGCTGAAAGACTCCCAAAGGATGTGAAAATTCAAGAAGTGAACCGTGAAAAGGTTAAGGAAAAGGTAAAGGAGGCACCAAAATCTCTAGCACCAATTCCTAGACCTTCCCCTACTTTCCCTCAAAGACTTGCTAGGAGGGCTGATGATAGCAAACTCGAGAAATTCTATGACATTCTCAAGCAATTATCGGTGAACATTCCATTTGTGGAAGCATTTCAAGAGATTCCGGGTTTTGCTAAGTACTTGAAGGACTTAATCACCAAGAAGAAAACCACCAAGAATGAAGTGGTGAATGTGACTCACCGGGTTTGCTCCATCATTGCAACAACCACCGTTCAAAAGGAAGAAGACTCGGGAGCTTTTACCATTCCATGCACTTTCGGGTTGCGTGATTTTGCACGAGCTCTTTGTGATAATGGGGCTAGCATCAACTTAATGCCTCTTGATATTTACAAGAAAGCGGGGTTAGGTATGCCGAGGCCTACAAGTATGAGGTTGCAAATGGCTGACCGTTCAATAAAAAGACTGGTGGGAATTATTGATGATGTTCTTGTGAAAGTGGGGAAGTTCCTCCTCCCTGCCGACTTTGTTATCCTTGATTGTGCTGTTGATAAAGAAATCCCTATCATCTTAGGGAGACCATTCCTTGCTACCGGAAGAGCACTCATGTATTCGCAACGAAATGAGATCAAGTTCTGAGTTAATGACGAAGAGGTTACCTTTCAAGCGAGTAAGAGTATGAAATTGCCACATGCATACGAAAGTATCTTAGTCATTGATATTGTTGATGAGGTAGAGGATGCAGTCGAGGTGAAGATGGAAGAATAATGCCTGGGTGAGGCATTGGCGGCTATTTTGGTTAATTTTGATGGTGAAGACATGTTAGGATACATGGAATCAGTAAATGCATTAGAAGGGCTTAGGTCCTACACTTATGCACCAAAGAATCTTTCTCTTGACTTAGAGAATAGAGTCACTCCTCCCGCTAAGCCTTCAATCATCGAGCTGCCACAACTTGAGCTCAAGCCACTTCCACCGCACTTAAGGTATAAATTTCTTGGCTCCAATAAAACTCTACCTGTGATCGTTTCTTCTTTGTTGAATGATGTTCAGGTTGAACAGTTGTTGAATACCCTGAGGGAGAACAGACAAGCCATTGAGTGGACAATAGCGGACATACGAGGGATTCCCACTGGTATTTGTGAGCACAAGATACAATTGGAGCAAGAGAGCAAACCTAGCATGGATCATCAAAGAAGGTTAAACCTTTCCATCCAGGAGGTGGTGAAGAAAGAAATCATAAAATGGTTAGATGTCGGGGTAGTCTACCCCATTGCCGATAGCCCTTGGGTGAGTCCAGTGCAGTGTGTGCCAAAGAAAGGAGGCATAACCGTGATTCAAAATGACAAAAATGAGCTCATCCCAACAAGGACGGTGACCGGGTGGAGAGTTTGTATGGACTACCAGAAGCTCAACAGTGCTACTTGCAAGGACCATTTCCCTATGCATTTTATTGATCAAATGCTTGATCGGCTAGCGGGAAGGTCATTCTATTTCTTCTTGGATGGTTATTCCGGCAATAACTAAATCAACATCACCTTAGAAGATCAAGAAAAGACAACATTCACATGCCCGTATGGAACCTTTGCCTTTAGCCGTATGCCATTTGTGCTATGCAATGCCCCGGCTACCTTTCAACGGTGCATGATGTCAATCTTCTCGGACATGGTGGAGGATTTCTTAGAGGTGTTTATGGATGACTTATCTGTAGTTGGTGACTCCTTTGAGCATTGCCTCGACAACCTTAGACAAGTGCTCAAAAGATGTGAGGAAACGAACCTTGTGCTAAATTGAGAAAAGTGCCACTTCATGGTGGACGAGGGCATTGTTTTGGGCCACAAAATTTCCAAGAAAGGCATATAGGTAGATTGGGCAAAGATCGAAATCATTTCCAAGCTTCCTCCTCCCACTTCAGTAAAAGGTGTTTGAAGCTTTTTGGGCCATGCCGGTTTTTATAGGCGTTTTATCAAGGACTTCTCAAAAATTGCAAATCCCATGTGCAAGCTCCTTGAAAAAGATGCAAAGTTTGAATTCGATGAGAAGTGTTCAAAGCTTTTAAGGAATTGAAAGCAAAGCTCACGACGACACCTATTATTGTCACACCTAATTGGTCCCTTCCATTAGAACTCATGTGTGACGCCAGTGGTGTAGCTATTGGGGTGGTACTTGGTCAACGGCATAACAAGATCTTTCATCCTGTCTACTATGCAAGCAAGATACTCAATGGCTCACAAATGAATTACACTATGACTGAGCAAGTACTTCTTTCCATTGTTTATGCCTTTGAAAAATTCCGGGCCTATTTGTTGGGGTCCAAAGTGATACTTTACACCGATCATGCTGCTCTCCGCTATCTTATAGCGAAGAAGGATACTAAACCAAGATTGATTAGGTGGGTCCTTTTGTTGCAAGAGTTTGACTTTGAAGTCAAGGATCAGAAAGGGGTAGAGAATCAAGTTGCGGATCACCTATCTAGGCTTGAAGAGGCAGGGAGACCAAAAGAAGATCTTGAAATTAACGATGCCTTTCTAGATGAACACATATTGGCATTGTCTAGAACCTTCACCCCTTGATATGCTGACATCGCTAACTTCTTGGTTAGTGACCTTATTCCCGACGGATTGGAAGCTTATCAAAAGAAAAAGTTCTTGCGGGAGTGTAGGCAATACTATTGGGAGGAACCCTTTCAGTTTCGGATTTGTGCCGACAACATCATTCGGCGTTGTATTCAGGAAGATGAGGTAATGCAGATTCTCAAGGCATGTCATAACTCCTCGGTTGGGGGCCATCATGGTGGAAACCGTACTGCGACAAAAGTTCTTGAATGTGGCTACTATTGGCCATCGATCTACCAAGACCCAAATCAAATGTCAAGGCATATGATCAATGTTAAAGACAATGGTCAATTTCTAGAAGACATGAGATGCCTATGAACTTTGTAATGGAGGTCGAGATCTTTGATGTGTGGGAGATAGACTTCATGGGTCCCTTCGTGAGCTCTTATGGCATGACATATATCTTGGTGGCTGTGGACTATGTCTCCAAATGGGCCGAGGAAATCACCTTGCCCAACAATGAGGCAAAAAGTGTAACTGCTTTCTTGAAGAAGAACATATTTATGCGGTTTGGTACCCCCAGGGCCATCTTTAGTGATGGTGGTTCTCACTTTTGCAACAAGGCCTTCACCAGGCTGCTCGAAAAGTATGGAGTCAAGCACAAGGAGGCCACCCCTTATCATCCTCAGTCGAGCGGCCAGGTTGAAGTTTCCAACAGGGAGATCAAAAACATCCTAGCAAAAACTGTTAATGCAAACAAGACTGACTGGTCAAGGAATCTAGATGATGCATTATGGGCATATCACACAACATTTAAGACTCCCATTGGCACCTCGCCATACCGGTTGGTTTTTGGTAAGGCGTGTCACTTGCCAGTGGAGCTTGAACACAAAGCCTTGTAGGCATTGAAAATGTTGAATCTTGATTGGGCCGAAGCTGCTAACCTAAGAATGACACAGCTCAATGAGATGGAAGAATTCCGTCTCCATACCTATGAGAGTGCAGCCATGTATAAGGAGAGAATGAAGTTTGTTCATGACAAGAAGCGGGAATTCAAATCCGGTGACTCAGTCTTACTCTTCAACTCAAGACTCAAGTTATTTCCGGGCAAACTCAAATCCAAATGGCCTGGCCCATTCAAAGTTGTGAATGTGTCCCCCTATGGCGCTATTGAATTGGAGTCGGAGGATGGGACTCGAACTTTCAAAGTAAATGACCAACGGGTCAAGTATTACCTCGGTACCACAGGAGAAAGGCACTTGGTGGAACAATTCTCACTCAAGGATAGTCCTACACCAGTCCCCACCACTGATTAGCCCAAATGGGGTCAACATCGTCGTACCGCGACGTTAAATCAAGCGCTTCTTGGGAGGCAACCCATGTGTGGTAACATTCTTTCGTTAGATTTTAATTTCTGTAGGTTTATTTGTTAGTGTTGAGCAGTTTGACGTGTGTGTTAGAATGCAGGTAGCCCAAAATACAATGAAACAGGGTGCAAAGGACTGAGAAGAATGAAGGAAAGAATGACCTGTGGTCTGTGGCAACTATGCAGTCGCATAATGGATTTGCGGAACGCATAGTGGTTGCGGACACACTCAGAAGAAAATGCAATTTTGGTCCTCCAAAATGCGGTGGGATTTCTATTTCTGCGGCCTGCATAACAATTATGCGACCGCATAATGCGTCGCGAAGTGGATCTTAGCCAAGTCGTCACTAACTCGTCGCATAACACATATGCGACCGCATAATGTGTTATGCGATCCACTTTTCCACCGCAGAACTTCTAGGTATTAAACCCTAATCCCCTCCACAGTTCAGTCGCACACCCTCACTCTCACTCACACACAAGCACCGCACAACACAAACGAGATCAACAAAATAAAGAAGAACAAGAAAATACCAAAAACATTGGCTTGACTACACAAAATCACAAAAAAATAAATAGAATTGCACAGAAAGAGGTCACCTGGTTCGTATATCAGAACAAATTCTTCAACTGCTCAGATATCTGGTATGTAAATGTTCCTCCCTCTCTTGCTTAATTACGTTGAAGAAAAATATGTGTCTACATCTTTTTTCCCCTTCTTCTCAATCCCTTGCTGTGGGTATCCATATGTGCATAATTGGTGCAAGAATCATTGTTTTGGGGGATACTGATACTGGGGGTAAACTGGGTTTCAAGAATTTAATCTGCATAATAGGAGTAAAGAACAGGGTAGGAAAATTTTCCATGTCATAGGTGTGCAATGTCCAAATTTGGATGTTAGAAGCTCTGCAAATTGAGTGGGTCGACCTTTTGATTAAGGATGACGATCTTTGCGGTCCGCATAATTGGTTTGTGGTCCGCATAGTCGTCATATTCGATGCCCTAGGTAGCCTGTTGAGAAGAACTTCTGCGGTTGGGTTCATGATCGCAGAATCATTTTGCGGACCGCGGAAGTGCCGCAGGCTGAGGCAGATAATTTGCCACATCGGGTGAGCAAACATGCAACCACTATGCAGTCACATAACTTGTTATACGGCCCCTTTTGTGATTGCATTCCTGCTTTGGCTTCTGAGTGGTGTAATTTTGTGATGGGTTTGCGGCACGCAGAATTGTTATGCGATCGCATAACTCATCGCAGATGCTTCTTGCTTCTTTTAAATTCTCTCAATATGTTTCCAATGCTATGTCAACTACTCACCCATTGATTCATTGATAGGAATGGCACCAAAGAAGTCTCTCGCATCACGATCACCTCCCGCTCGAGGAAACAAATGGGCTGCTGCCCTTAGTCAACAAGCACAACAATCCAAACACCCAAGGCCTGAAACAGCCAGAAGCACATCTAAGCACTCCTCCTAGTCTAAAGAGGAGGAGGCACAGACTGATCTTATGCCATCCATTGATCTCCATGCTGAAGGAAAAGTGGTGAAGATATACGGTTTGGGGTTCCCGGATCTTGGAACATGTACAAAGATGGCTTAGCAAGGAGACAAATCATTGAAGAGAAGCAGCTAGGCCTGAACGGTTTAAAAGAACATTACCCTCATGTGCTTGAAAATATTAAAAAAAGGCAATGGGAGTTCTTCACTCAAGTCCCG